ATAGCCAGGGTTGGGCCAGGCCAAAGCCAGGAGCCTGGAAATCCATCCAGGTCCCCATATGCGTGATAGAGGTCCAAACATGTGAGCCATCATCTACTACTTCCCAGGATGCATTAGCAGAAAGCTGGATCAGTAGGGGAGGTTTTGGGACTGGAGCCAGCACTCTAATATGGTATGCGGGTATCCCAAAAGGCAGCTTAACCCACAGTGCCATGATGCGCAGCTCACAGGATTCATTTTGGGGGTGATAAAAATGTTCTAAAATTCACTGAAGTGATAAGTACAAACTAAATATCACTAGAACAAGTGGATTTCCATAGGCAAAACAAACAAAACAAACCCAAAAACACAAAAACAAAACTGAAATCTATGCCTTTTATCTTTCACAGAATTAACTCAAAATGGATCATAGACTTAATGTAAAACATCAACTACAAGAACAAAAAAGTATAAAAATAGTAAGAATATAGGGATCAGGGTTGTGGTGCAGCACGTTAAGCCGCCATATACAGTGCCAGCATCCCATGTGAGTGCTGGTTCAAGTCCCAGCTGTTCCACTTCTGATACAGCCCTCTGCCAATGTGCCTGGGAAAGCAGCAGAGAATAGGCCAAGTCCTTGGGCCCTGGCCATCCATATGGGAGACCCAGATGAAGCTCCTAGCTTTGGTTTGACCCAGTCCCAGCCATTGTGGTCATTTAGGGAATGAATCAGTAGATGGAAGATCTCTGTCTCTACATCTCTCTCTCCTTCCTCCCCCCTTCCGTCTGTAACTCTGTCAAAAATAAATAAATAAATAAATAAATCTCAAAAAAAAAAAAAGAGAGAGCTTGGTAGAATTTTTAGACTTAACACTAAAAGCATGAAGCACAAGGGAGAAATGATAAAATGGATTCCATTAAAATTAAAAACCCTTTTAATCTCTAAAGATCTTCCAAAGATGATGAAAAACCCAGCTACATGGGCCAGCATTGTGGCACAGCAGGTTAAGCCATCACTTGCAATGTCAGCATGCCATATTAGAGACATAATGACAGTCCCAGCTGCTCTGCTTCCAAGCTAATGTGCCTGGGAAAGCAGCAGAAGCTGACCCATGTACTTGGGTCTCTATCACCCATGTGGGAGACCAGATGGAGTTCCAGCCTCCTGGTTTCAGTCCAGCCCAGCCCTGGCTGTTGTAGCCATTTTGGGGAATGAACCAGTGGATGGGAAATATCTACGTCACTCTGCCTTTCAAATAAATACATAAATTAAAAAAAAGTTTTAAAAAGAACAACAAGAAGCTACAGATTGGGAGAAAATACTTGTAAAACCTATACCTGGGCCAGCGCCGTGGCTCAATAGGCTAATCGTCCACCTGCAGCGCCGGCATACCGGGTTCTAGTCCCAGTCGGGGCACCGGATTCTGTCCCAGTTGCCCCTCTTCCAGTCCAGCTCTCTGCTGTGGCCCAGAAGTGCAGTGGAGGATGGCCCAGGTCCTTGGGCCCTGCACCCCATGGGAGACCAGGAGAAGCACCTGGCTCCTGCCAGCGGATCAGCATGGTGCGCTGACTGCAGCGCGCCAGCCGCAGCGGCCATTGGAGGGTGAACCAACGGTAAGGGAAGACCTTTCTCTCTGTCTCTCTCTTTCACTGTCCACTCTGCCTCCTGTCAAAAAAAAAAAAAAAAAAAAAAAAAAAGAAGACGACCTATACCTGACAAAGAATTAGTGCTTAGAATATGCTTAGAATACATAAAAACTCGGCCGGCGGCCGCGGCTCACTAGGCTAATCCTCTGCCTAGCGGCGCTGGCACACCGGGCTCTAGTCCCGGTCGGGGTGCCGGATTCTGTCCCGGTTGCCCCTCTTCCAGGCCAGCTCTCTGCTGTGGCCAGGGAGTGCAGTGGAGGATGGCCCAGGTGCTTGGGCCCTGCACCCCATGGGAGACCAGGAAAAAGCACCTGGCTCCTGGATCCTGCCATCGGATCAGCGCGGTGCGCCGGCCGCGGCGGCCATTGGAGGGTGAACCAACGGCCAAGGAAGACCTTTCTCTCTGTTTCTCTCTCTCACTGTCCACTCTGCCTGTCAAAAAAAAAAAAAAAAAAAAAAAAAAAAAAAAAAAAAAAGAATACATAAAAACTCAAAACTTAACTCTGAAGAACCAGTCTAAATAGACAAGAGACATGAAGAGACATTTTGCTGAAGAGAATATACATATGGGAAACAATCACATGGAATATATTTGACATCATTAGTCACTAAAAGATGTGCACATTAAAACTTCTTTAAAATATCATAATGTAACCATCACAATGGTTAAAATAAAAAAGGGTGACAATATCAAATGATGTCAACAATGCAGAAAAACTAGATCACTAATACACTATTAGTGGAAATGTCAATTTTTGGCATAGCCTTTCTGATAAATAGTTTGATAGTTTCTTAAAAAAAATACATGGTAATTGCAACCCTGGGCATTTAACCTCAAGAAATGAAAACAAAAACCCTTGCAGAGTTGTTTATAGCAGCTTTATTCATAACAGCCATGAATTGAAAAAAAGAACACATTTTTTTTTTTTTTGACAGGCAGAGTGGACAGTGAGAGAGAGAGAGAGAGAAAGGTCTTCCTTTACTGTTGGTTCACCCTCCAATGGCCGCTGCGGCTGGCACGCTGTGGCCGCTACACCACGCTGATCCGAAGCCAGGAGCCAGGTGCTTCTCCTGGTTTCCCATGCGGGTGCAGGGCCCAAGGACTTGGGCCATCCTCCACTGCACTCCTGGGCCACAGCAGAGAGCTGGCCTGGAAGAGGGGCAACTGGGACAGAATCTGGCGCCCCAACTGGGACTAGAACCCGGTGTGCCGGCGCCGCAGGTGGATGATTAGCCTATTGAGCCGCGGCACCGGCCTACATGTTCTTTAAATGGTAAATGATGAACCTGTGGTCTACCCAAATCATGGCATACTACTCAGTAACAGAAAGGAGCAAACTATTGATATATCCAACTACCAGGATGCTACAGAGACTTATGGTGAGTAAAAAAAAGCCCATCACAAAAGATTATATACTACATTACTTAACATATAATATTCTTGAAATAAAATTATAGAAGTAAAGAACAGATTACTTGCCAAGGATTTAAGGAGATGTAAGGGTGGGAGAGAAGTAGGTGTGTCTAAAAAAGGCAGCAGGAGAGTTTCTTATGGTGATGGAAATGTCTATATCTTGGCTTTGTTAATGCCAATTTCCTGGTTTTAATATTTTACTAAAATTTTACGATATGTTACCCTTGGGGAAAACTGGGCAAATGGTACAAGGGATCATTGCCATATTTCTTACAACTGCATGTGAACCCATAATTACCCCCAAATAAAACACTCATTTTAAAAAAGCAAATCTTTATCTTATACATAAAAAATATAAATTTGAGAACTATTAGCTGGTTTAATTCATTTCATTTTTCTTTTACAGTTCATAATTAAGAAATAATATTTTGAAATTTTTATTCTACTTTTTAATTTTAGAAACCATGTATATAAGCAACAATATTATTAAAAGAATACAGGAATAGTCATAAGACAGATCAATGGATTAGAGAAGACTCTAGCCTACATAAGACTTAGAATATGATAGAGGAAGTATTTCTTCCTTTTGTCCTTTCAGATGTATCCTCCACTGAACTTGGGAGGCTGACCTCTATGGACTGCAGCAACTGGAATTCTTACTCTCTAGTTAGATGGATTTGGTCAATGGGAGCAACTGGAGAAAATCAGAGAGTGGAAGTCAGAGTACATTATCTTCACTCTGTCTCTGCTCGACCACAGCTAGGTAGCAACCACATTCTTCTACTAAAGACCACAGCTCCTGGCCAGTAACCCTATGCTTTAGTAATTAATTAATCTTGCTAAGTTCTGCTGACTAGTTCCTCTTCTTGACTCCTTTGAGTTAGGAAAGCAATCGTTTTTTGATATCGCTAATTCTAGGATGTTTACTATTCCTTGTCTGTTTCCCTAAACTTTGCCCACACGTTTGTAAATATTCTCTTCCTTTAACATTTCTCAGTTTCTCTCCAGTGTGTCATCTACTTCTTGTAGGAAACTAATGTACTTGCCAGGAAGCACAATCTGGAATGCTGCATGAGTAAATACCAAGGGTCACTATATTTAGAAACCCACAGTTAGAGTGATGGGAATATGGGGGTGCCCCCTTTTTTCTTTGGTAAATGTGGAGTGATGCAAAATATCTTTTCAAAGCCATGCCAAAAAGAATATGGCCTAGTCTAAAGGCAGGTCTGGCTTTTGTCCTAACTTTTGGGAGACAGCCTCTCATCCTTCGAGATTCCCCTAGAAATAGGGCTTTGTAATTCAAAGTGGGACTCTTGGACCTTAACTATGGTTTACACTAATGAGGTGAGCCCATTAGGGGAGGGAAGGGCAGAGACAGATTTCAACTACATGGACAATTAGTCAGTTAACCAATCGTTATCTACAAAATGAAATTAAAAAAAAAATCTGAACACTGATGGTTGGGTGAGCTTTTAAGACTGGCAACATTCCTGACATAGTGTCACACATCAATTCCAAGAAGGTAGCAAGTTAAGGACAATGGAATCTTTACATTTGGAACCTTCATAAGCTCTGCCCTGCACATCTCTTTCTTTGACTAATTTTAGCCATATCTTTTCAGGATAATAAACTATAATGGTGAATACCCTAGGTTCCAGTGGTCTCTGTGAATCTTTGCAGCAAATGATTAAACATGAGGGTAGTCTGGGAATCTCTGAACTTGGAGTTGGTATGAGAAATGAGGGTGGTCTTATGTGGATTAAAATTCTGAATTTGGACTCTAATTCCCTGCAGTTGAGTCAGAAATCTTGGGCAGATTTGACAGTGCTCTTAAGCTCATAACTTGACTAATTCGGGTAAAAGCACAAAAATATAAATGTCCAAAAATATAAATGTAGATAGACAAATTAATAAATTTTTACTGCATTTGAGTTTATATAATTTAAATTCTTCTACTCACCTGAGGATCTACTAACCACCCGTGGTACAAAGGAATATCAAGAAGATCAAATACTATGCATTCCGGTGTATATTCAAATACTCGAACACCAGTAAATCGTACATTTACATCTAGGCCTGTCTGTAGTTTGTGCAAAATTGCCATAGCATCACTCATATTCTGAAAATACAAAGAGGAAAGATATATGTCAGAATGATCAAAACAAAAACAAAAAAATTTTAAGTATAAACACACTGATTTTTAATATTCTGTTTTATCCAATTTATTTTTTTTATTTTTAAGTACCTATTATGGGGGCCGGTGCTATGGCGCAGAAGGTTAACACCCTGGCCTGAAGCGCTGGCATCCCATATGGGTGCCGTTTCTAGTCCCGGCTGCTCCTCTTCCGATCCAGCTCTCTGCTATGGCCTGTGAAAGCAGTAGAGGATGGCCCAAGTCCTTGGGCCCCTGCACCCGCGTGGGAGACCTGGAAGAAGCTCCTGGCTTTGGTTTGGTGCAACTCCAGCCATTGTGGCCAATTGGGGAGTGAACCATAGGATGGAAGACCTCTCTCTCTCTCTCTCTGCCTCTCCTCTCTCTATGTAACTCTTTCAAATAAATAGATAAATCTTTAAAAATAAATACCTATTATGTACCAGGCATTAATATGAATTCCAACAATACAAGGGGACTTAAAAAAATTCAAGAATTTTTTTTTTCTAAAGATTTAATTTATTTGAAAGTCAGAGGTAGAGAGAGAAGGAGAGACAGAGAGAGAGAGCCATCTTATATCCGCTGGTTCTCTCCCCAGAAGACCACAATAGCCAAGGCTGGGCCAGGCAGAAGCCAGGTGCTTCATCTGGGTCTCCCACATGGGTGCAGGGGTCCAAGGACTTGAGCCATCTTCTGCTGCATTCCCAGAAGCATTAGCAGAGAGCTGGATTGGAAGTGGAGCAGTTAGGACTTGAATCATTGCCCATATGGTAAGCTACTGTCACAGAGGGTGGTTTAACCCACTATTCCACAATGCTGGCTCCAGGATGTGCGTGTGTGTGTGTGTATGTGTTTTTTAAAGATTTGCTTATATATTTGAAAGGCAGAATTACAGAAAGTACACAGACACACACACACACACACAGAGCAAGCAAGAGAGTTCCTCCATCCCTTGGTTCATTCCCCAAATGCCTACAAGGGCCAGGGCTGGGCCAGGCTGAAGCCTGGAGACTGAAACTCCATCTGGGTCTCCCACATGGGTGGCAGGGGCCCAAGCATTTTGACAATCCTCTGCTGCCTTCCCAGGAGCATTAGCACTGAGCTGGATCAGAAGTGGAGCAGCCAGGACTCGAACTGGTAACCATATGGGATACCAGTGTTGCAGGCAGCAGCTTAACCTGCTGTGCCACGATGCCAGTCCCTTTTTTAATTTGTTTATTAGAGATATATAAAGAGAGAGAAGAGGAGAGCTCCCACCCACTGGTTCACACTCCAAATGCCTACAGTGACTAGCAGGGTCAAAGTTGGGAGCCCAGAACTGGGACTCAATCCAGGTCTCCTATGTGGGTGGCATGGATTTTTTTTTTTTTTATTTGACAGGCAGAGTTAGACAGTGAGAAAGACAAAGAGAAAGCTCTTCCTTCCGTTGGTTCACCCACAAAATGGTCACCACGGCTGGCACACTGCGCCGATCCGAAGCCAGGAGCCGGGTGCTTCCTCCTGGTCTCCCATGCAGGTGCAGGGGCCCAAGCACCTGGACCATCCTCCGCTGCACTCCTGGGCCACAGCAGAGAGCTGGACTGGAAGAGGGGCAATCAGGACTAGAACCCGGTGCCCATATGGGATGTCGGTACTACAAGCGGAGGATTAACCAAGTGAGCATGGAATTAATTACTTGAGCCAACGCTGCTGCCTCCCAGGGTATGCATTACCAAGAAGTTGGAGCACAGAATCAAACTCAGGGGCTTCAATGTGTGATACAGGCGTCTGAATTGCTTGGCCAAATGCCTGCCCTATACATTATGTTTTAATTCCATTTTTCACAAACTTTTTTGAAGTCCTTTGTGTAACAATGAATAAAACAAAGTTTTTGCTCCCATGCAACAAAAGTTCTACTGGAAAAAACAAAAATGTAAACATACAATATGGTATTTTACTACAGCAAAATAATGTTGTACAGAATGGAAGGAATAAAGGACCTACTTTAGAACGGGAAATCTAAAACCAAAAGTTTATCAAGTCAAAGAAAATGCTCTTTCTCACTTCTGGATATGGATCTAAAATAACTCAGAAAAGGATCTCAAAGAGATATTTGCAGACCCTTGTTCATCGCACCTTTACAACACCCAAGACATGGAATCAGCCCAACTGTCCATTAACAAATGAATAAAGAAAATGTGGTACATATATACAATGGGATAATATTTAGCTGTAATATACAAGAAATCCTATCACACATTACAATATGGATGAATATCCTTGAGGATATAATGCTGAGTAAAATAAGCCAGTCACAAAAATACAAATGCTATATGATTTCACTTATACATGATATCTAGAGTAGTCAAAATCATAAAAACAGAAAGTACAAGGATGGTTTCCATGATCTTGTGGGAATGGGAAATGGAGGCCTACTGTTTGATGTGCACAGAATTTCAATTTTATAAGAAGAAAAATTCCACAGATCCATTACAAAACACTAAGAACACAGTTAACATGACAGAACTGTACATTTAAAAATGGCTAAGGGGAAAAAATTTAAATTGTGTGGGTTTTACCACAATCAAAAAATAGAAATGAGTGATTAATACATGAAAGACATGGAAGAAACTTAGATTAATAAGTGAAAGAAGACAATCTGAAAAGGTTCCATGCTATAAGATTCCAAACAACATTCTGGAAAAGGCAGAACTATGGAGATAGTAAAAACACAAAATTAAACAAAAAAAATCAGGGATTAGAAAGGAGGGATAAATAGGCAAGGCATAGAGGGTTTTTAAAACAAACTATTCTGCATGATATTGAAATGCTAGATACATGTCATTAAATACCTGTCTAAACCCAAAGAATATACAATACAAACTGTGAACCCTACCATAAATTATGGACTTTGAGTGACTATGATATATGGTGTAGTTTCTCAATTCTCAATACAAGAGATGTATTACTCTGCTACAGGATGTTTACAGTAGGAGAGACTGTGCATGTGGGTTTCGGAGGCAGAAGAGGTATAGGAATAGTGTCTGTACTTTCTATACTTAGTTTTGCAGTGAATGCACTGGACTTAAAACTGCTAAAAAAAAATTTAAGGATAGAAAAAGAAAGAGGATAGTCTCTTGAAAAATGAAACCTGAATAGAGACCAAAATGAATACAAATTTCTTTCAATAAATATGGTCACATCATCTGTAATGAGGACTAGTTTAAAACATATTTTTCTAAACATTTTAACATTAAATATGGACATAATTATAGAGGATATATCTGAATAAAAACAAATACATAAAATATAATAAACTGAAATCTCTTCTACTGATCAAGCACTATGCTAGACAATACAAACAGGAACAGTAGACTGAAGTCTAAGGGAGTGGCTTATAATAGGGTTAATATAAAATTAACTTTCTTATATTAAACTAAGGAAAACTAAGGACTCACTCTGAAATTAGAAAAAAGGCAAATTAAGGTCATAAAATCAAAGCTTTTACCAAATAACTTGTTAAATTTCATCCTAAGAGACTGAAGACTGCAAATTATTTAAATGTTTTCAATTCATAAATAGAACAATTAAAACAGTATTACATTCTTAAATAGCATTTGACCTTTGTCAGTTTCACCTCTTCCTAGTTTTTATATTACTCCAAAACAATATATTTCCTCAAGCTTTCCAAATTTTGAAACTTAATTTACAAAATTTCCCTTAAGATTTTTTTAATTTTTAAGATTTATTTATTTGAAAGAGTTACAGGGAGAGAGAGAGAAAGAGAGATCTTCCATCCACTGGTTTACTCCCCAGATGGCCACAAAGGCTAGAGCTAGTCCACGCCGAAGCCAGGAGTATCTGCCAGGACTCCCATGTGGGTGGCAGAGTCCCAAGGACTTTAGTCATTGACCCAGGTTTTCCTAAAGCCATAGTAATGATGAATCTGAGAAAATAGTAATGAACAAAGAATTATAGGGTTATTATATTATCACCAATTCTTTGTTCTATTTTTGTTAAATCCCTAGTTGGTAATCAGTCTACTTTCTTTATAGTCAACATAATTTCTAGTGGTTTCTGGGCTTATGTGTACAGCTTCATATATGCACTACATTATTACAGATTACTTAGTATCAAAATAACAATTAATACCATTTGATAATATACATAATGATTAACACTGATTTACAAAGGGCTAAAATGGTTATTTTGGCACCAGTGCTGTGGCATAGTGGGTAAAGCCACCACCAGCAGTGTTGGCATCCCATATGGGCACCAGTTCGAGTCCTGGCTGCTTAACTTCTGATCCAGCTCTCTGCTATGGCCTGGGAAAGCAGGCGAAGATGGCCCACGTCTTTGAACCCCTGCACCCACGTGGGAGACCAGGAAGAAGCTCCTGGCTTTGGCCTGGACTAGCCATAGCCTTTGTGGCCATCTAGGGAGTAAACCAGCGGATGGAAGATCCACAATGAAGGCCCCTCTTTTTTTTTTTTTTTTTTTTTGAGGATTTATTTTTACTTATTTGAAAGGTAGAGTTAGAAAAAGAGAGGTCTTCCATCTGCTGGTTCACTCCCCAAATGGCCACAATGACTGTAGCTGTGCTGGCCCAAAGCCAGGAGTTAGGGGCTTCTTCTGGGTCTCCCACATGGGTGCAGGGTTCCAAGTACTTGGGCCATCCTCTCCTGCTTTCCAGGGGCATTGGCAGGGAGCTGGATGAGAAGTGAAGCACCCCAGCATATGGTGCTGCAGGTGGCAGCTTTACCAAGTATGCCATAACACCGGTCTCATTACCTTTAATTTTGATGCTAGTGTGTACCAAGCTGTTGTGACAGAGCTTAAGGTAGCATTAATTTAATTTTTTAAAAAATAAGAGTGTTAATTGTTTAAGATTTATTTATTTGAAAGTCAGAGTCAGAGAGAGAAAGGAGAGGCAGAGAAAGAGAGGTCTTCCATCCGCTGGTTCACTCCCCAATTGGCCACAATGGCTGGAGTTGCACCGAACCGAAGCCAGGAGCCAAGAGCTTCTTCTGGGTCTCCCACGTGGGTGCAGGGACTCAAGGACTTGGGCAATCTACTGCTTTCCCAGGCCACAGCAGAGAGATACATCGGAAGTGGAGCAGCCAGGTCTCAAACCAGCGCCCATATGTGATGCCGGCGCTTCAGGTCAGGGTGTTAACCCACTGCACTACAGCGCCGGCCCCAATTTAATTTTCTACAGGGAAATTAATATGAAAATGAAATAACATTCCTTTTTTGGATAATTTTACATAAGCTAAATTTTAGAAAGATTCAATACAGAGCTACAATCTTGCTAACTAAAACTTCTTTACTATAAGTTGTAATGTAGAATGTACTTGCATTTTTCCAGTTTTACTTCATGCTATAATCTAACAGAAAAGCATAAGGTGTGCGTGTGTGTTCATAGCACATTTTTAAATGACTGAAAATGTTTCATTTTAAAATGTATTTTATACTTAAAATATTTCACTATGGTTAAAAACATCTTTGGGAAGAGTTCTAAGAATTTAGCCACTATTTTAAAGGATTTAATAGCTGTCTTTTCATCTCTGTGACTCTGCTTTTCAAGTAAACAAACAAATCTTTAAAAAACAAAATAAAGGGGAGCCGACATTGTGGTGCAGTGGTGTCTCTCCCTTTCTCTTGGCCTTTCAATAAATAAATCTTTTTTTTTTTTTTTTTTTCTGACAGGCAGAGTGGACAGTGAGAGAGAGACAGAGAGAGAGGTCTTCCTTTTCTGTTGGTTCACTCCCCAATGACCGCTGCGGCCAGCGGGCTGCGGCCAGCACACCGCACTGATCTGAAGCCAGGAGCAGGTGCTTCTCCTGGTCTCCCATGCGGGTGCAGGACCCAAGCACTTGGGCCATCCTCCACTATACTCCCGGGCCACAGCAGAGAGCTGGACTGGAAGAGGAGCAACAGGGACAGAATCCAGCGCCCCGACCTGGTCTAGAACCCGGGGTGCCGGTGCCACAGGTGGAGGATTAGCTAAGTGAGCCACGGCGCCGGCCCTCAATAAATAAATCTTTAAAGACAAAATTAAAGGGGCTGGTGCTGTGGCATAGTGGGTAAAACCGCCACCTGCAGTGCCAGCATCCTATATGGGAGCTGGTTCGCTGCTCTACTGGTTGCTCTACTTCTGACCCAGCTCTCTGCTATGGCCTGGAAAAGCAGTAGAAGATGGCCCAAGTCCTTGGGTCCCTGCACCTGTGTGAGAGACTCAGAAGAAGCTCTTGGCTCCTGGCTTTGGATGGGTGCAGCTCCGGCCAATGCGTCCAATTGGGGAGTGAACCAACAGATGGAAAACCTCTGCCTCTCTCTGCCTCTCCTTCTCTCTCTGTGTAACTCTTTCAAATAAATAAATAAATGTTTAAAAAAAAAGAGAAAATTAAAGGTAATGTAAATAAATAATCATACCTTATAGTTTTAGTGCTTGTGTTAAATGCAGTGTACTTTTATTGCCTGCTATGTGTAGAAGAAATTCAAACATTAGATATAATTTGTCTCAATTATGAAGCAGAACATTACTTCCAATCATTTTTCAAGCATCTAAATCAATGTAATGAAGTCATCCTAAGACTGCAAGATGGACTTAAAGGAAACAAAATACTGACAACATCTGCAAACACTTGTTACACAGGATTTTCTTAGAATTCTATGTATTCCAAAGTTAATATGAGGCTTAAACTAGCATTAGTAATTTCTAACTTTAAGTTTTAGTATTAATCAAAATAGCTTCATGGATTTCAGTAAGAAATTATATAAATTTGAAAAATAAATGATATAAACTGAAGCTTATTATTTTATACTTATAAAATATCCTTTGCTGGTTTTATATATTGGAGGTTGGCATGAGATTTCATTTGAAAAGAAGTTTCTATTTCTAAAGATGTTTGGAAACCACTGCCTTAAGCTACCTATTTCCTCAATAATATTTAAATGATCTACCAGAAACATTTGGCTTTAGCTACAGATTTCCTATCCTACAATTTTATTAGGAATGGATTATCTGAGCATTCAAATTCAAGAAATTTTCTGGGGACAGAACTGTGGCATAATTGGTTAAACACATCACTAAGTGCATAGCACATGGAAGACCCAAAAGAAGCCTCTGGCTTCTGGCTTCAGCCTGGCCCAGCCCTGGCTATTGTAACTATTTGGGCAGTGAACCAATGGATGAAGATCAATTGCTCTGTCTCTCCCTATCTGTCTGTAACTGTCTTTCAAATAAATAAATCAATCTTTAAAAAAAAGAAAAAGAAATTTTCTATCAGAATGAGTTTTATTTCATTTTTGTGAATTTTATACTAGTGAAACTATGTTAAGCATGTTCAGTACTTGCTCTGAAAGTAAATATGAAGGTATCAATGATGTCTATTTCATCCCTGGTTGATACCTCCTCCCCGTGTAAGAAAGTAATTCTTTCTTGCCTTCTATTGCTAATAAGGGAAGAACATTGAAGAAAATGAAGTTCTGCTTCCTTCCTTCCAGCTCCAAAACTTTTGATCCTTATCAACTCTCCTATATTAAGAACAGGGTATCTAAAGAATATGCCAAGAAATGAAGGCATACTGACACGATGACAAAACAGAAGAATTTGTCCTAATGGCATATCCTGGAAATCTTTTGTCAATTTTCTGCTAAACATAACTTAATTATAAAATATAAATAAAATGAGAAAATATGAATCAATGACAAAAGCAGTTGACACTAAATTTTTCAAGAAAAATGCCAGGCTATCATTTTATATGGATCTGTATAAATATATCGATATATCATTCTATTTAGCGTATATATTCATAAAAACACAAGGATCTGCAAAGTATGGCCTGTAGGCCAAATCTAGCTTTGAGCTTAGAATGCTTTCTATATTTTTAAAGGGTTGAAAAGAAAGAAAACAAAGAATATGCAATAGATACTGACCGTTTATAGCTTGAAAAGTCTAAAATATTTATTGGTCACTTATAGGAAAAGTTGGCTTATCATTAATAGAGATAAAAGCATATATTCATTACAAAAATTATATTTTAACATAGCAAAAACTGTGTTTATTACCTGTTCATAATTTAAACGTTGAATTTCTGAAATTTCTTTTGGCTTTGCATCAAGCATGTAATCTCCTGTAAAAAGAAATTGTGAAATGCCTTTTTGAAATATTACTTTTTCTAATTACAAAAGTAATAGGTTTTAATGATCAATTATTAAACACTGCAGCAGGTGACAGATAAAGTTGATTCTCCCAATTCTACCAAAGAAAGTCAGTGTTTGCTATCCTCACATATTTTTCAATATATATACTTTATAATGCTTTGAAAATTTCTTTTATCTTCCATTATATAATCTGTTTGAGTACTTTTCCATGATACTACATACAAAATTCCCCAAAGTTGTGCCACGTCTTATCAATATCAACAATATAACTGTTTTCCCATTACCTCATCAACAATGGATGTTATCGGTTTCTAAATATTTGCAACTCTGAAGGTAAACAAAATTATTTTTGTATTTATAAATCTCTCTCTCCTCCCTCGTATCTCTGCCTTTCAAATAAATAACTTATTTATTTATTTGAAAGGCAGAGTTGCACAACAGAGAGAAGGAAAGAGAGAGAGGTCTTCCATTTACTGGTTCACTCCTCCTAAATGACTGCAATGGCTTGGGATGGGAAGGCCAAAGCCAGGAGCCCAGAACTTCATCTGGGTCTCCCACGTGGGTGGCAAGGACCCAAGTACTTGGGCCATCTTCTGCTTTCCCAGGCTCATTAACAGGGAGCTGAATCCAAAGCAGAGTAGCTGAGACTCTGACATGGGATGCCAATCTACTGTGCCACAATGTTGGGCCTGATTTTCTATTTCAAAAAATAGTTTGAAAGACTCCATCAAGTATTCTATTAGATATCGAACTTTGATAGAAAAGAATTCCCATGGGGGCTGGTGTTTTAACAAAGCAAATTAAGCCACCACTTGCAACACTGATACCAGTGTTATATCCAAGTATCAGTTGGAATCCTGGTTACTCTACTTTTGATCCGGTTTCCTGCTAACACTACCGGGGAGACAGTGGATGATAGCCCAAGTATTTGGCCTGCTTATACCAAGTAGGAGTTCCTGGCTCCTGACTTCAGCCTGACCCAGCCCAGGTTGTTGCGGGCATTTGGGGAGTAAACTAGCAGATGGAGGAAATCTCTGATTCTCTTTGATATAAAATAAAAAATTAATAAATAAAATATTAAAGAGAGCTATTTTGTTTAGCTTATCTAATCTTTGTAACTGTAATTAAACAAGACTTTCAATCAAAAAGCATCTTTTTTATAAAAAAGATTTATTTATTTATTTGAAGTCAGAGTTACAGAGAGAGGGGGAGAGACAGAGAGAGAGAAACCTCTGTCTGCTGGTTCACTTCCCAGATGGCTGCAATGGCTAGGACTGAGCCACGCTGAAGCCAGGGGCCAGGAGCTTCATCTACATGGATAGCAGGGTCCCAAACACTTGGACCATCTTCCACTGCTTTTTCCCAGGCCATTATCAGGGAACTGGATTGGAAATGGAGCAGCCGCAACTTGAACTGGCATCCATATGGGATGCTGGCATTGCAGGCAACAGCTTTACCCACTATGCCACAACACTGGCCCCTTGAGAATCTACTCGGTGTTTAGCAATGGGTTAAAACAGTATTAGGACATAAATGATGCTCTTATCAATATTCGGTTGGGCGATGAACATAAAAGAAACAGAGAAAATAATAATGGTAAGGTATAACACATGTGAAATGTAATAAATGCCTTAAGTACCAAGTGATTCTACAAAGAGACATGATACACTCTGTAGAGCTTAGAAATATCTTTTGGAGGGGTAGATCTAAACTGGATTCAGAGAAATGGGCAGGACATGGAAAGGCAATTGGAGGAAAAATTTATCTGAGGGAAAATGAGTGATAGAGAAAGAAATCTAAGAAAGATCATGTCATATGGACAGATTATAAGAAAATTTATACATAAGATTTATATTACAAAGTGTTAGGAAGTATGGCCCAATGAGTAAACTTGACTAGATTATAAAAAACCCTAATGAGGTGCGGAAAAATGGGCCAGTTGTAAAAGATCAATGAGATATTTACACTTATTTTTTTAAGCAGAGGAGTGAAGGATGAAATCAATAATTTAGGAAAAGAACACCTGTAATATAGGCTAACTTGGAGGTTCAGAGAATGATAGTTTGTGTAAATCAGGTTATGAAATATCAACACACAGAGAGGGGAAAGAATTTCAAAGAAAGAATCCAAGACCTTGATAGTAACATAATATTCCAAACAAAAAGAAATCAAGAAACAAAAAACCTGATAGCTACATCATACAAAAAAAATGGAAGAGAAGGTTTCATAGTAGTTAGCTTATCCCACACAAACATTTCGGAAAGAGACACAATCAAGTCTAGACAAAATTAAATACTTCAATATTGACCTCTTTTATGGCATATTTATTTTCAAAAGTTAATTATTTTTTAAAAGGTCAGACAACATCACTATCCCAACAACTACCTTCCTTATTATACTATGTTAACATCACCAACATAAAATTTTTGGATGTTTGAAGTTACAGTTTCAGTTTGTGTTGGGCTTTGTTACTTAATACTCATACCATTTCCTGCCTTCTGTCTGTACCTCTTCCCCACCTTACTGATTACATCTCCTAACACTTTGTAAGTGTCTCAGCTTGTCATGTTCATTTCTACATGCCAAGTCCTCCAAGAAGCTATGTTCATGTTTGGCCCCATTTTTATATTCTAGTAACAGATATTTTCAAACTGTATCTCACTTACTCCTTCTCCTCTAAACTTTGTCAGTCAAAATCCCAGTCCATGGAGGTACCTCAGCCAGGTGTTAGGAAAGCAATTAATTGTTTCTCTTAATGATCCTACTGCTCAGATATATCTCTGGTTCCTCCACAGAACTGAAATAATCTCAATAGGAGAAAAATCAACTAGCTCAGAAAATTAAACAATTTGTTCTGACAGGATTGATCCTGAATAAAATTTACTTCTGGCCGAGCGGTCTTTAGAATCTTTGAGTTGGGGCTGGTACTGTGGGGCAGTGGATTAAGTGATGCTGGTATTTCATGAGTGTTGCTTCCTGTTCTGGTAGCTCCTCTTCTGATTCAGCTCCCTGCTAATGTGCCTGGAAAGCAGCAGCAGATGGCCCAAGTGCTTGATCCTTTGCCATCTATGGGAGACCCGGATGGCATTCCAGGATCCTGGTTTAGGCCTGGCCCAGCCCCAGCCATTGCAGCCATTTGGGAATTAAACCAACAGATGGAAGATAAATTTCTCTTTCTCTCTCTCTCCCCCTTCTCTTTCCTCTTTCTCTGCAACTCTTTCAAATAAAATAAATAAATCTTAAAACAAGAATCTCTGTCCATACCACTCTTATAAACTTCTCCCCTACCTCCCATTAGGATCATATTACTTTAATGTTTCTTCTACTAGCTAAGATCTCTCACTCAGGACTCACAGACTTTTCTGGCTACCCCAGATCTAGTTATTTCTTTGCCAATTTTTCTTTTTCCCTAGCAAAATTCTCTATCTGATGTCTTGCTCCCTTAGGGCTTTGCTAGGTAAGAGTTGGAGAAATTTAATATGCCAAGATGTGAAGTATTTCTTGCTGATGTTTTCATGATATACATGCTTATGCAGCACATTGACTGCATTGTTGATATCACTAAATAACTTGCCCACAGTATACACACAGTAAATAATAAATTGATAATAAAAAGAAAAGCATTAGTAGTTGTAATAATAAAAAAAATTTTTAAAGTAGTATTTAATATGTAATAAGCTCAATAGGCTAATCCTCTGCCTTGCGGCGCCAGCACACCGGGTTCTAGTCCCGGTCAGGGCGCCGGATTCTGTCCCGGTTGCCCCTCTTCCAGGCCAGCTCTCTGCTATGGCCAGGGAGGGCAGTGGAGGATGGCCCGGAAGTGCAGTGGAGGATGGCCCGAGTCCTTGGGCCCTGCACCTGCATGGGAGACCAGGAGAAGCACCTGGCTCCTGCCTTTGGATCAGCGCCATACGCCGGCAGCAGCGCGCCGACCGCGCCGGCCATTGGAGGGTGAACCAATGGCACAAGGAAGACCTTTCTCTCTGTCTCTCTCTCTCTCTCACTGTCCACTCTGCCTGTCAAAAATAAAAAAAAATAAAATAAAAAAATAATAATAATATGTAAAAAACTCTTCTGGGCAGTGAAGGGGGAAGAAGGATATACTTTTAAGCATATGAGCTTTTCAACATTCTTTAAATTACATAGGAAGGTGCCCAGATGGAGATAGCACATTATTTAACCTCTCTGAAGTCATCTGTTTCCTCACTTCTAAAATGAAGAGAGATTACAATTTTGTGATGCTTTATTTCTGTGCCAATATTTTCTTTTTTAAAAGATTTATTTATTTATTTGAAAGCAGAATTAGAGAGAGAGGGAGACATCAGAGAGGTCTTCCATCCTCTGGTTCACTCACCAAATGGCTGCAATAGCTATAGCTGGGCCAGGTTGAAGACAGGAGCCCAGAACTCCATCCTGGCCTCCTGTGTGGTTATCAGGGGCCCAAATACTTGGGTCATCTTCTGCTACTTTCCTAAGTGCACTAGCAGGGAGCTGGGTCAGAACTGGGGCAGCTGGGACTCGAACAAATGCTTATATGGGATGCTAGCGTTACAGGTAACAGCTTAATTTACTACGCCACAGCACCATCCCATCTGTGCCAAATGTAAATTTTGTACCATTAGTACTTCCATGCTATGGCTCCACTCATGAATTCTCTGCTATCACAATCATATTCTTCATCTACAGGAATTAACAGCATGAGTTCATTCTGTTTCTGAAGGCATTCAGACAAGGGCAATTAGAGTTATGGTAATAACCAGCAGGGAGGCAGTAAGGTAAATGGTACAAATCTGTAGTGGCACATACAACACAGCCAAAATGAAGCAGAAGCTATGGAATTTCAGCACAGTTTAGGTTAACACTATCCAACAGAAATATAATCAAGCCACAAAAGCATGCCTATATGTGGTTACAAACTTTCTAGGAGCCACATTACAAAAAAAAAAAAAGGAAAAAGGGATAGGTAAAA